CAAGTAGCTGGGACTACAGGCATATATCACCGTGTCTGACTAATTTTTGTATTTTTTGTAGAGACAGGGTCTCTCCATGTTGCCCAGGCCCATCTTGAACTCCTGGTCTCAAGCAATCTGCCCACCTCAGCCTCCCAAATTGCTGGGATTATAGATGTAAGTCATCATGTCTGGCCAAACCCTTTATGTTTTCAGCAAAAGAGGATGAAAGAGACATTCACTACTCATACACACAGAACTTGATTGATTGATTGATTGACTATGGAATTAATAGCTAAAGACTAAGAAGCTCCAGAATGAGACCCCCCCCACCACCCCAATAGCTGGAAGAGAGGTGTCATTTGGGGCCTGGCTTTTTGTCTGTGCTAATGAAACCCCTATATGCCACTTTAGGCAACAATCTAAAAGGAAAGGATCCTTCAGGTCCTTGCTGTTTCTGAGTTGGAAGTCCTTTGTGCATGTCAAGAGATTTTTCTCAGCCTCCGTACAGAGTGATGGGGCCCAGGCCGCTGAGCCCAAGCAAGCTATGGTGGTTGCAGGGGCTCCTGCTCCCTGGGCCTGGGTCCTGTGACTAATGGCTTTCAGTGATATGAGTGCTTGGTCCTGGCTCCATCAGGGCTCCTGGCAGCACTCAGCCCAGATATATGTTCACTGGTGGACTTTTTGGAAACCCTGGGGAGGCTGATACCTGTAATACCAGCACTTTGGGAGGGTGAGTCAGGCTGGATCATTTGAACCCAGGAGTTTGAGCTCAACCCAGGTAGTGTCCTACTAAGCCTTTGCGCATCTCTACCAAAAAAGAAAAATTAGCCAGGTGTGGTGGCATGTACTTATGGTCCCACTACTTATGAGCCTGAAATGCAGTGAGTAAAGACAGTGCCATTACACTCCAGGCTGGGTCACAGAGCCAGATCCTGTCTCATAAACACAAACACATGCACAGGCCTGAGGAGCTCCCTGTGGGGGACGTGTCCAGCCTGAGGAAGAGGGGAACAAAGGAGGCCTGGATGTAGACTTTGGGTTTTTCACGGGCTGCCTGGCTGCCTGAGTACCTGGGTGCTCAGGCCAGCCTTTGGCCTTTTTGCATCACGTTGGAGCCAAGTAGCCGATGAGGCTGGTGCGTTGGGATGAATTGTGGAAGACAAGCTAGACAGACTGGGCTTCATTCTGTAGATGGCAGAAGCCACTAAAGGTATCTGAGCAGGACAGGGCATCGTGAGAGTAAAAGCAAAGAGTAAACCTGGCAGCCTTCCCCCAGGTGCACAGGTGAGGTCCTTCACTGCCCTGCCCCGAGGGAATGCCTGAATGCTACAGTCAGAAAAAGGCAAATGCCTGCTTTCCTGTCCTTTCTCTCAGGGAGCACCCACACATCCAGGGCTCACCCCACGCTGCTTTGCTCTTCTCTGCCCTCCCCCCACCCCACCCCCGCCATCTGCCTCCAACGGCTCAAGCTCCCTGCCTGCTGAGTGTGCCCTCACGAATTTTACCTCTTCTACTGCTAGGAAAAGGTATCAGAGAGGAGAAGGGGAGCTGTAGGAAGCCAGGGGACACCAGAGATAGACTGCAGGCACCTTGCCTTGCTGCCCCTGTTCCCCTCCTCCACGCCCCCAACCCTACAGCAACCAGGAGTAGGTAGTATCTGGGTAGATTACCTTTTGCTTTTTGTTTGTTTCCTGCCTCTTTTTTTTGAGACGGAGTTTTCGCTCGTTACCCAGGCTGGAGTGCAATGGCGCGATCTCGGCTCACCGCAACCTCCGCCTCCTGGGTTCAGGCAATTCTCCTGCCTCAGCCTCCTGAGTAGCTGGGATTACAGGCACGCGCCACCATGCCCAGCTAATTTTTTTGTATTTTTAGTAGAGACGGGGTTTCACCATGTTGACCAGGATGGTCTCGATCTGTTGACCTCGTGATCCACCCGCCTCAGCCTCCCAAAGTGCTGGGATTACAGGCTTGAGCCACTGTGCCCGGCTGATTCCTGCCTCTTCTACCAAGTATGCTTTGTTTTGAGAGGGCAGAGCTGACTCCACTCTGTGCATCAGGCATATTCGGCGCTGCACCTGGCTCATCAGTATCAATGGTGATGATGAGGAGAGCTCAATGGAAACATCCAGCAGTCCAAGAGTAAACCTGGCTTCCATGTCCAGTGGAAACATGGACATTCCTGGCTGTGTTTCTTTGCCGGTGCAAGAGGCCGCAGTGGAGGTCTGCTTCAGTAGGTGTGATTTTGGCTTTTAGGCATCAGATGATCCTTGAGACCCAGGCTTTGCTGCTGAGCGACAGAAGCTCTCACATTAGCTCCTCGTCTGGAGGCAGGGATGTTGCTTTAGACTCATTTGGCTATAAGGAACTGAATACTCAAGAGAGGCTTAAAAACAAAGGAGTTTAACTATCATACATGACAAGACACTGGAGATGGATGACGGCAAGAATGGTCTAGCAGTTCCAAAGTGGGTGTTGGAGCCCTCTGTCTGTGACTCTCCTGACCTATCCCTCATGGTCACACATTGGCTGCCACAGCTCTAGGCATTAGAACAGCGTCCCAGGCTGGAGGCAAGAAGACAGATAAAACAAGCCTTTTCTGTAGCACCTCTTTCCTCTTATTCAGGAGTGAAATCCTAATCAGAAGCCACCTGGTAGGATTCCTCTTAGGGTCCATTACCCAGAATCTGGTCTTATGTCTGTTCCTGCAGTAATCATTAGCAAAGGGAAACAAGATGAACTGTTTGACTTAGACCAATCATATTCATGCCGAGGCTAGGGAAAGAGTCTACACTGTATGTGTTACAGCTAGAATAGAGATGGGCTTCTATAAACCAAGAGAGAAGAGGCAGCTGAAAGGGTAACCTGCAGCAGCAGCCACAGGGAACTCCATGTCCAGCTAGACAGAGCCATCTGGCTTGGTCTGTGAGGTCTCCAAGGACAGAAATCCCACAGATTCTCTTTGTAATGTCCTACTAAGCTCTCTGGGTCCTCTGAGCCTTTGCACATACTGTTCCCTCTGCTTGGAACACTGAGCCCCACTTCCCTGGGCCTGGCCTGAGTGTCTGCAGACACCAGTGATGCAGGGACATTGTTGTCACTCTGTGGGTACCCCCAACCCTGTTCATCCATAGATTCCTTACTCCATTCCACTTGGTGGTTTTCTGTCTCCCATTGATAGAATTGGTGTCTCCAGTGACAGACTGGTTTTATCTGTCATAGGCGTGCAACATGCAGTAAATAATGGACAATGACAATTGTGACCACAGGGGCAGCACACTGCTCCCTCCACCTTAGTGATACCCAGGCAGATGGCCTCCTCTCAGTGCCACATTGTCCACAGTAGGCGCTGAATGAAGGAATCAGTGGCCCACCCAGAGGCCACTAACTTGCTCTTCTGCTTCCATTTTTTCTCTCCCCAGCCCATGTCTCACTCTACTCCCCAGTGAATCAATCACCAATCAATCTCTTATTTTTCTTTCTCTCTTTAATTGAATATATTTTTAGCCGGGCACTGTGGCTCACCAGTGTAATCCCAGAACTTCGGGAGGCCGAGATGGGCAGATCACTTGAGGTCAGGAGTTCAAGACCAGTCTGGTCAGTGTGGTGAAACCCCATCTCTACTAAAAATATAAAAATTGGGCTGGGCATGGTGGCTGACGCCTGTAATCCCAGCACTTTGGGAGACTGAGGTGGGTGGATCACCTGAGGTTGGGAGTTCGAGACCAGCCTGAACAACATGGAGAAACCCCATCTCTACTAAAAATACGAAATTAGCTGGGCTTGGTGGCGCATGCTGTAATCCCAGCTACTTGGGAGGCTGAGGCAGGAGAATCACGTGAACCCAGCAGGCAGAGGTTGCAGTGAGCAAAGATCGCACCATTGCACTCCAGCCTGGGCAACAAGAGCGAAACTCTGTATGAAAACAAACAAACAACAACAACAATACAAAAATTATCCAGGCGTGGCTGTGGACACGTGTAGTCCCAGCTGCTTGGGAGGCTGAGGCATGAGAATTGCTTGCACCCAGGAGGCAGAGGCTGCAGTGAGCCAAGATTACACCACTGCACTCTAGCCTGGGCAGCAGAGCGAGACTCCATCTCAAAAAAAGGAAGAAAAAAGAAAAGAAAAGATTATTATTACATATGTCTATCATAGAAATCTTGAAAACCTTAGATATGAAAAAGAGGAAAATAAGATATAATCTCACAATTCAGAAAGAGCCACGGGTTAAATTTTTATTCCTGTCTTATATTTTTGTTAGCAAATTCATATATAAAATAGGATTACAACATAATGGATTGTATATTTCCTTAATGAACACATCGTAGCATGTTTCCCTGCTAATACACACTCGTATCATCATTGTGGGAAAATATAAATAACATGAAACTTACCATTTTAACAATTTTTAAGTGTACAGTTTAGTGGCATTAAGTACATTCATGTTGTACAATTATGAGCCCCGTCCATCTCCAGAACAGTTTCATCGTCCCAAGTGGAAACTTTTGCCCATTAAATAACGACTCCCCATATCCCTTCCCTCCAGCCCTTCCATTGGAGATATATATATATATATATATATCGTAGTCACTCTATCCAAGATTTCACCTTACATGGTTTTAGTTACCCAAGGTCAACCATGGTCCAAAAATAATTGAATGGGAAATTCCAGCAATCAACAATAGATGAATTTTGAATTGTATGCCATGTTGAGCTGCATGATGAAATCTTGCGCCACCCTGCTTGGGATGTGAATCTCCCTCTGTTCCACGTATCTATGCTGGACACACTACCTGCCCTATACAACATGACTGTATAAGAAAAAACTTAGTATATATAGAGTTCTGTACCATCTGCAGTTTCAGGCATCTGCTGGGGTCTCAGAACGTAACTCCCACGGATGAGGTTGTGGGGGGACTGTATCACACTCTGTTCTGCTTTCTGTTCCTATGAATTTGACTACTCTTGGTACCTCACATAAGTAGAATCATACAATTTTTGTCTTTATGTGGCTGGTTTATTTCATTTAGCATAATGTCTGCAAGGTTCACCCATGTTGTAGCATGGGCCAGAATGTCTTTCCTTTTTAAGGCTGAATAACGTTTCATCGTGAGTGTGAACCACGTTTATCCATTCATTGGTTGATGGACACTTGGGTTGTCTCCTCCTCTGGCTATTGTGAAACATGCTACTGTGAACATGGTATGCAAGTATGTGTTCCAGTCCCTGCTTTTAATTCTTGGGATATATCCTCAGAAGAGGAATTGCTGGCTCAGAGATACCATCATTTTTAATAACTACAGAGGGTTTCATTGTGGATGAGCAACAAGTTTTATTTAACCAGTTTCCTATTGCTGGCCTGGTAGACAATTGCTACTTTTTGTAAACATCTGGATAGTAAACGTCCTATCTTTGTCCCACAGGAGCATTTTTTTTTTTTTTTTTTTTTTTGAGATAGCATCTCACTCTGTCACTCAGGCTGGAATGCAGTGGCGCAATCTTGGCTCACTGCAACCTCCACCTCCCAGGTTCAAGCGATTTTCCTGCCTCAGCCTCCTGAGTAGCTGGGATTATAGTTGTGGATGACCACTCCTGGCAAATTTTTGTATTTTTAGTAGAGACGAGGTTTCACCATGTTGGTCAGGCTGGTCTCGAACTCTTGACCTAGTGATCTGCCCACCTCGGCCTCCCAAAGAGCTGAGATTACAGGCATGAGACACCACGCCTGGCGCCACAGGAGCTTTTTAACATAGACCTGAGCATTTCACTGCCCCAGCCCAAGACTCCCAGGACTTCTCATAACTTCCAGACTTCACTCCATGTCTGCAGCTCAGGGCTCAGTGGACAAGGTCTTCACGTTCTGGTCCTGCTGTCACTGCTCTGCTCACTCACTCCTCACTCTTGCAATGCCCCAGGACTCGATGCTCTCCCCCCTACCTTCTTTCCCCACTCCCTGCTTTTGCACCTGCTGTCTCCTCTCCTTGAAGTACATTGCCATCCCTCTTCCCACCAGAAGAACTTGAAAGCCCTCTGGAGGGTTCACCTGGACTGTTTTCCCCCTTGTGAACCTCCTGCTCACATCGTATGCAGAATTAACCACACCCTTCTCTGTCCTCCGTATATACGTCTGTTAGAGCATTTATTATGTGTTAGCATAGTTACTTGTTGATGGAGGCAGCTTGGAATTACAGAAAGAGGGCAGAGTTCATACTCCAAAAGACCTACTCCAGAATCGTAGTTCTTACAGTATGACTTGGAGCAGGCTGCATGGCTTCTCTGAGCCTCACTTTGCATTTGTAAAATGAAGAGAATAATTCCTACTTTAAAAGGATTATTTCAGGATTAAAGACAATGAGCAGTACTGACACAGATTAGGTTTAATAGTATTAGCATCAGTCTGGTAGCTAGGACCGTGATGACAGTGGTGAAGATGATGATGATGGTGATGGTGATGGTGGTGATTATGAGGCGGTGGTGGTGATGATGGTGTTGATAATCATGTTGAACTCGTTCCTCTGTTAGAACCTGATCACTACAATGCCAGCTGCTATGCAGCTTCATCTGTGCTTCGCTGGTGTCTGACATAGAGTATGTACTCAGTAAATAGTATGTTAATTATCTCAAGACTCGCCTCCTTTGGCAGGTGGTGGGTTGATGCTTCCTGAATTAACCTGATTGGCTGAACCTTCCTTCTGAGCCCGCCCCAGTTGTGAATTTTGTCGGTGCAGGCAGGGAGGGTCCCTGACTTGAAACTGTTAGATTGGAGTTTTTTTCACTGGTCCCCTTGGCCAGTCACATCCCTTCTCTGGGCTTCACCTCACTTCTCCGCTGCAACAAGGGCCTCCTGTCCAACCTCTGATTCAGCACCCCGATTTTCATTCAGAAGTGTCTTGCTCTGTAACCATACCCAGATTATTTCACTTTCGGTGAGTTTTATATCCCAGCTGGAATGGGCTCCAGCACCTGAGGAGACTATGTTTGGGTTCCCTTTTATCTTCTTCTCCAGTACCATGCTTAGCACTGAGCCCGTGCCTTGGCTATGATGGTGGTGGGGCTGGGTGGAAGAAGACAATGCTTGGGGCCATTGAACTCGCACCACCCCCTGCGCCTGGGCCGTCCCATAGTGAGAATAATGAGAATGATGACTTGTCACTTCTGTGTCTCCTGTCGAGCTGTTACCAAAGGCCTTCCTGTGCTAGGTGGGAGGATGGCCAGATGGCAAAGCCCCGCCCAGCTGCAGGGATCTGGGTAAGCACCACACCTTCCCCCTTCCTGCTTGCTCAGTGTATCCGTTGGCTTAGATTCTTGACAGTCTCCTTCTCCTGCCTTCTCATGGAGGTGAACAGAGCTGCAAACACCATGTACTGCTGCACGCGGGCCTCCTCCAAGACCACAGAACTGCTGGGTGAGTGAGTGCTGGCTGAGCCTTCCCCTGCAAAGGGCATGGTCCAGGAGGAAAGAGGGACACAGTCTTTACCATACAAGGAAAGTGTGCCACGGGATGCTTTTGGAATTCAGAGGGGAGTGGCTTTGTGGAGGAATGGTGCTGGGCCTCTCAGGTTCAGGAGGGTGGGACATTCCTAGCAGGGAGATGCCTTTGACAAAGTGCACAGAGGCAGAAGCATGTGCACTTTCTTGTCAGGGACCTGGAAGGAGGGTACTTTTTTTTCCCCCCACATGGTAACAACATGGATTTGTCTTCTTAGGGTACTTCCTAAAGCAGAAGAGAAGGACTATCTTTATAATCCCTTTGGCCTGGATAGAAAACTGAGGTCTGTTGGAAGGAAGTGCCGTGGGGAGCAAGGGGTAGGGTGGGGCTGGGAAGGCTGAAGAGCAGAGGGACCAGGGCTCTCCACAGTCTCTCCGGGTCATGGTGAGACTAGACCCACAGCACAGTGCCACTTGTCCCTGACTGGCTGTGAGCTGCTGGCTTGGGCTGCTCTGCCTACTGGGGGCTGGTAGATTCTGAAGGAGCTGGGCAGGAAGGCTTTCTGGACTTCAGCCAGCTTCTCATCAATGCACAGGGCTCTCTCTGCCCCTCTGTTCTGACTCTGCCTGAGCTTCTGCGGTGCAGCAATGGCTGCAGCCCTCGTCCCTGGGAATGGGTGGTCCTGCTGACCCTCTGGCGGTCCAGAGGCAGGGTCAGGGGAAGCCTGCCTAGCCCAGAATTGGGATCCAAGGACCTGCTTTATGGGGTAGAGAGGAGTTTTCCTTTTGCGTATCCCAATTGGGAGTTTCTGCCCAATTGGGATAAACTCTTATCTTTGCAAATCTAATGGTCTGAATATTTGAGAGTCTAGGTGTCGTCCTTTCCTTGCTGTCTTCTTCAGCTTCGATTCGAGGGCACCTCAGAGCAGTGCATTATAAAGAGGCCATTTCTTTAGTAGCTGGCCCTAAACAACTTTTCAGCTTTCTGAGCCTCTGTTTGCCCATCAGAAGGGGAGTTCTTCCTTCACTGAATTGTGGTTGAATAGGAGAAAGTTTGTGAATGTCATCTAATGCATAGCACGTGTTCAGCCAGTTTTAGGATGCGGTTTCCCATTCCCCATGCATGAAGTCACCCTATAAGGCCAGCAGTTGTTTTGCATTTCCCCTCCTAAATCCAGAGTTTGTATTTTAGGTTTGTTTCAGTTGGGGCTGGTGTGCACCTCCTGAAGCAGAGGAAGGGGGCAGGGGACACTTGGTTCCCAGGAAAGCAAAGGCTGAGCCTAGGAAGGGGTGTAGGCATTGGGTGGTGGCTGGAGGGATGTGCTTTCTGGACAGTGTGTCTTACTTCCATACCAACCCATCACATCCAATTAAAAACAGCCTTCTCTACCTGGAGGAGATGAACTAGCCCAGAGATCTCTAGGATAGAATCATGAGTCCCCAAAACATGTAATTTGTGCCTTTTTTTTTTTTTTGAGATGGAGTCTGGCTCTGTTGCCCAGGCTGGAGTGCAGTGGTGGAATCTTGGTCCACTGCAATCTCTGCCTCCTGGGTTCAAGCAGTTCTCCCATCTCAGCCTCCTGAGTAGCTGGGACTACAGGCATGTGTCACCGTGCCCAGCTGATTTTTGTATTTTTAGTAGACGTTTCACCATGTTGGCCAAGCTGATTTTGAACTCTTGATCCCAAGTGATCCATCCACCTTGGCCTCCCAAAGAGCTTGGATTACAGGCATGAGCCACCATACCTGGCCTAATGTGTGTCTGCCAAGGTGCAGTTATGTGCTCCACGAGGAAGGAGACAATGTTTTATGATGCGTTGCTACTTGCTGCTTCTTTGCACACCATTAAGCCTTGCAACTGTTTCTGCACTAGAGGGGGCCAGTAAGGGGCTCTTTGGCCTTTCTGTTCTATTGTCTTCTAGCTTCAAAGGAGCTTCTAGGTTCACCACCTAGAATGAGTAGAAAGAAGGCAGGACCAGGGGTTAGGGAGGCTTGGTTCTTATTCAGTATTCCTTTAATAGTCCTGGTGCCTCGGAGAGAATTTCATCCTGTGGGTCTGTTTCCACATCTCTAACGCGAGTGTGTTGGCTTAGGTGTTCTTCACTCCTCCTCGAAGTAAGAGTTTTGAAGTTGTCCTCACAGATGGAATGCTGTTAGCCAAACCCACAGTCTAGGAAGGCATATGGAGACAGTGAAATCAAATACCTTCCTTGCCTATATTTCTCTGAGTCCTTTGTTAGTTTTGAAGAAACACTGGTGCTCTCCTAGTTGATCTTAACTCTTGGGATTCAGGGAGATGCCTCCTTGACCCTGCCCATGACTGGCATCATGGCCTGGAGCTGAGCATCTCATGCTGTCCCGACTCACTTGTACCAACCCCAACAGGATACAGAATACGGGTCATTTCCTTATTCTCTTTATGCTGCCTCCTTGTTTGGTCACGTCTGTGAAACGTCCTTTTGTAGAACTTCCATTTTGGTTCCTAGGAGACTCCCCTCACCATAACATTCACAAAAACCTTTTCTGAAACTAGAATCTGGTGGTCAGTGATTTATTTCTGGAAAAAATTTACTTCTGAAAATAAAGAATTATAAACAAAAAGAAAACTGTGACTGGTAAGTCCACTATCCAGAAACCATCTGTCAACATTTTGCCTCATTTTATTGTAGTATTTTCATTCACATTGATGAGACATTTTGTAAATACAATTTGTATCCTGCATTTTTCTTTTATTGCCATATTATGAGCATCTCCTTAGCCAATAGAATAGAATTGGCATGGCCGTGCACTGTTTTCATACAAGAGGTGAATCATAACAGTCATTTCCTTAATGTTGGATATTAAACTTGTTGCCAATTTGTCAAAGGGCATAAATCCCACAGTTGAACCCTTCACACACATAGTGGCTCCTTAGCATTATGGATTTGAAAGAGTAAGGCAGCTAGACCTAGGAGGGAGAAGAAAAGGAACGGATATGTAAGAGTTTCTGTTTTCTTCCAAGCACTGAGAGCAGGGTACTCGGTCCTTTATGTTAACCCTCAGAACAATCACTGGAGCTAGGTTTTCCAGATGGGAATTGGAGACTTGGGGAGATTCAGGGGTTTGATGATCAGGTTTCACAGCTGGTGGAAGCTGCTTCACGATTCGATCCTGGGTACATCAAGCTGCATAATTGGCTTCTCCCTTGCTGCCCTGCTGCTTGGAGGCAGAAAGAATCTGTGGGGTCTGGGACCTGTTGTAGGGAGCTGGTGAGTCCACCACCAAAAAGAGTGGTCAGGTTGCAGGGGAAGGGGTGCTTCTCTGCACAGAGTCCAGTGGAAATGGAGCTGCCCGGGGGCAGTGGAGGCAGTGAGTGTTCCAGCTGTGGGGCCTGGAGAGACCCAGTCCCCTGGGGCTCAGGGCTGTCAGCCAAGGTTTGCAGCCTGCTCTGCTGGAGACAGAGTCCAGGTCTCTGTCTCATCAGCTCCTGCTCTTGTCCATGCTTTTCTTTACCACTTCTTATAAATCTGAATCAAATTTTCTTGACGTTATACTCATAAATTTGAAGTGGGGTTCTTACCAGGCCTGTCAGTAAGATGGAAAAGGGAGAGTGAGTAGAGGTGAATTCTAGGAATTTGGGCTATTTTTAAACACAGACTTGTTATTCTAAGGCTTGCAGGTCACTAGTACCAGAGAAGAATTCTACAGGCATGTTAGCTGGTGCTGGTGTTAAAACAATTAGGCTCAAAATGACAACTAAGAGGGTGTGTGTGTGTGTGTGTGTGTGTGTGTGTGTGTGTAACCACTCTTCCTCTTCCTTTTCCTTACATTGTTGGGGAGCTTGCTTGGGAATGCCTTGTGCAGGGCCAGCTGTGTCAGTGGGAAAAGGGGTGATCTTAGAAGGGAGTGCTGGGCCCTTTCTGTGGGGAGCTGGTGACCCCTAATCCCCTGTCGTCCCACTGCATGCATAGGTGTCTCTTCAGACCTGTTGCCTCTCCCCTGTGACATCAGCCTTCCCTTCTGTAAAATGCAGGCTAGGATTAGAACCTTTGTAAACTCCTCTTCAGCTATGGAAGCATCCTGTGATTGAGAACGCAGGTGCCTCTCAGCGTGCTATTTTATGGTCAAGTTGCTTCCCTGCCTTCCCCCTCTGGCACCAATTGTGCCTGACACTCTAGTTCAGAGTTCCAGGCAGTGCTGCTTGTGGACATGGAGTCTCTGGGAGGGATGGGAGACAGCTTTGTCTGGTCCTTCCTTGTCTTCATCATTCTTCATTATCTGGACCCACCCCTGCTCACACTTCCCAGCACCTCCCACTTTACCCTATTACAGCCTCATTGCAGTTCCACAACCCCTCTGCAGAGGCTCATGACTCTAGGCTGTGCCCTGGCCATTCCCTCCCCTGGAATGCCCTCCTCTCCAAAACCCTCATCTCATTTGAAAGGAGAAACTCTATACCTGGCATCTCAATCATTTTTTCCTATGGCCATCCCTCCAGCTAGAATAAGGCAGGGTCTGTGGAATGCTCTGAGGTGGGGGCTGAGCTCAGACCATGATCCCTACCCTCTGGGTTCACATCCTGGCTGCCCTGCTTGTTGGCTGGGTAGCCTTGGGCAGCATTTGTACCCCATCTCCCCAATCTGTACAATGGAAATAGTAACAATCCTCAGCTCGAGGGGTTGTTCCAAGGATTCAATGAGTTAAAACAGGTCAGGTTCTTGGAGCAGCATCTGGCACACAGAAAGAAACAGATACTTACTAGCTTCGTTGTTGGGCTGAGCATGGTGGCCAGCATGAACTCGATGCTCTGTGTGTCTTTGCTGGATGCATTTATAATAAAGCACATGGAAAAGCTATGGACGTTGCACTGATGAGGGAATCTGAGAGAAGAAACAGGACACCGAACGCCCTCCCTGGAAAGAAAGTGCAGATGATGAGAAAGGTCGTTGGGTACCTGTGTGCATGTTTGGTTGATGGGGAAGACAGGCAGACTTAAAAGCAGACATTTGTTTTTATGTTATTTTATTTTTTAAATAGACACAGTGTCTCCCTCTGTTGCCCCCCAGGCTGGAGTACAGTGGTGCCATCATAGCTCACTGCAGCCTCAGACTCCTGGGCTCAAGCCATTCTCCTGCCTCACCCTCCTGAGCTGCTGGGACTATAGACCACCACACCCGGATAACTTTGCATTTTCTGTGGATTCAGGGTCTCACTATATTGTGTAGGTAGATCTCAAACTCTTAGCCTCAAGTGATCCTTCCACCTTGGCCTCCCAAAGTGCTAGAATTAGAGGCATGAGCCACCATGCCCAGCCCAGACTTTCCTTATCAGTCTCTTCTTTCCCTAAGGCCAACCCTTTTCTTACAGACCGGAACAGTCTTCAGCTCACATACCCACCCCTTACCCCTGCCTGTCACACACATTTCCATTTACACCATTTGTAGGTACAGAAGACAAAAACCTAAGAATGGAGTTGGGGGTGTATGGTGTTTTGTTCTTCAAAGAGCAAGATTGTAAAGGAAACCTGTAATTGGGAAGGTTTTATTTCTTGCTCTCAGCAGTGTAGAGATGTGCACTAGTCCTTCTCACTTAACTTCTGTTGCATCCAAAGAAGGTAGGAAAAAAAGAAGAGCATATAGAAAAGCAACTCAAAGCTTTTCCTCAAATTAGCTCGGAGCAGTCACAAAATATTGTCAACGGTGACAGAAATTACAGACAAAGGAGGAGAGGACCTGCTGGAGCTTTTGACACCAGCTTACATGCAGCTAAGGGGATTCACTGTTCCACCCACCCTCAGGAACACCTCTTAGTAGAAAGTAAAAAACTACAGTTAAGTTACAGTGGAATATTTTAGTCAATTTCTATGAGAAAGATTATTGATCTGAGAAGTTGGTAACAGATAATGAGTATTGAAGAAAAACATTTCATTTTCTAAGCATTGCTGCCTTGAAAAGCCCTCTCTCCGTTTATATCTACATGACTCTGTAGTGTAGAACTCCAGAACCTTGGTTGTGAAAGGCGTTTTAGAAAGGATCTACTTAGGCCGGGCGCGGTGGCTCACGCCTGTAATCCCAGCACTTTGGGAGGCCGAGGCGGGTGGATCACGAGGTCAAGATATCGAGACCATCCTGGTCAACATGGTGAAACCCTGTCTCTACTAAAAATACAAAAAATTAGCTGGGCATGGTGGCGTGTGCCTGTAATCCCAGCTGCTCAGGAGGCTGAGGGCAGGAGAATTGCCTGAACCCAGGAGGCGGAGGTTGCAGTGAGCCGATATCGCGCCATTACACTCCAGCGTGGGTAACAAGAGGGAAACTTCGTCTCAAAAAAAAAAAAAAGAAAGAAAGAAAGGATTTACTTAAAATCCCTTTTTATCATATAAACAACAAAATGGAGGCCCAACAAGAGGTGGCTTGTCCAAGGACTCAGGCCAGCGTAAGTTGTAAGCCATTCATTTGATTCAGCTGGAGGCCCTTGGGCCTCATCGCACCATGATAGTATTAAGGAAAGAGGAAGGATCATGCTCTCACATTTGTAGCCTCTGCCCTGAAAGAGCCTCCTCTTCCTCCGTTTGTTTCATCTTTGGCCTGCTGCAGCCTTCATAGTAGGCAGCTTTCCTGATTTCTTCTTGTTCAGTCTTGAAATTTAACACCCTCAAATTTTTTTTTTTTTAAGATAGGGTCTCACTCTGTCACCCAGACTGGAGTACAGTGGCATGATCACATTTCCCTGCAGCCTCAGCCTCCCAGGTTCAAGTAATCCTCCCACCTCAGCCTCCCAAGTAGTTGGGACCACAGGCATTGCCACCATGCCTGGCTAATTTTTATGCTTTTTTTTTTTTTGGTAGAGATAGGGTTTCATCGTGCTGCCTAGGCTGGTCCTGAACTTCTGGGTTCAAGTGATCCACGTGCTTCAGCCTCCCAAAGCACTGCAGTTAAAGGCATGAGCCACCATGCCCAGCCAGCACCCCACATTTAACAACTCACAAATGGATTTTTTCTGTCTCCTGCCTCTTACCAGCATACACTGATAGCAAAGGCAAAATGGTGTCATCTATACATCCTGTGTGATCATGCATCATTGAGGCTTTTTGCAATGTTGGCCTAGCCTGAGTCCTGCTGGCTGCAGAGCCTTCTCAGACAATGCTGTTCATACAAGGGGGCCCCACCATAGATGGGCCAATATCACACAGGGGTTCAGCTCATCTCTCTTTGAATGGCCTTGGGTAAGATGTGACTTGTCATACTGGAAGTGTGTTTTCTGTGTATCCCCATCTTCTCTTCCCCCATCCACATTTTTGCTGTCCCACTGCTTTTTCCTGGGCTAAAATTTAGGGGTTGGCGGTCATCATGAGCAATGGAATTCAATTTTTATTTGCATTCTGGCTCTATTGTTAATTAGTTCCATAACTCAGAGAAGTTGCTGAAGTCCTGGGTTAGTTTACTCATCTGTAAAATGAGTATGTTTTTTTCTTCCATAGCTGTTGTACTGATTAAATGGAGTAAGAAACCAGTAAGTAGAGAGTAGACATTCGATGCATATTAGTTTCCTAAGCTTCTGAGGCACCTGAGTGTGGAAATAACACACAGGTTACTTCCAACTCTGATCATGGACTCTGGTTCCCAAATTTGATTCTCAGAGCAGATGTGACCTTGTGGGGACCAGGCATGAGGACAGGCATCTTGCAGAGCCCCCCTCTGCCCTTCCTCTGGCAAAGAATCTTGTTGCTGGTCTGCCACTTACCCTGCATTTTGAGAAGCTAGAACTCCACAGACCCAAGTCCAAGTCCTCCAATGCTTCATGGGGGGTGTCAAATCCAAAGGATGCTGCTGAGTGTCATCCCAAGCAGACAGGCCTAGAGTCAGGCTGGGGGAACTGGCTTAGCCAAGGCTGCCTCTGAAGACAATATAACAACTCAAAATGAGAGGGTCTGAAGTTCAGGCTTGATTCAGATTGGTGGCGATTTCTCCAGGGTTTAATTCTTAGGAGCCCCCTGGCAGGATGACAGTGGGCAACCATATTGCATGATGGGCCCTTTGCAGGGAGGACTTTAGCTCTCAGTTAGAGGTCGGGGAACCATGTCCAGGGGCTGGCAGGACTTTCAGGGGCCCAGCCGAGAGGACTGCAGTTTCTAGTGGGTCCCAGCTACCGCAGCTAAGTGAAACACAAAACAGGATCTAGGCTTCATGATAGGGCACACCAAGGCTTGGTGGAAACTCAGAGGTTTCCTGAGTTTGGGTCTGCAGCAGCAGAATTCACCCCGTGCCCCACCCTGATTGGCGTTGGCTGCATGGAGGCTGCAGATGTAGGGCTGTATAGCTAAAGCTAAGCGAGGTAGGGAGCCCTAGCCTCTCCCCTGCTTAGCATCCCCTCCTCTGCACCCTGACTCAGTAGCCACAGGTGCAGGGGCACCTGCTTCTGAAACCACTGAGCACTGCAGCATGTCCACCTTGAAGGCACTGGGCATGTGCTGGGCTGGCTCAGTGTTCAGCCTGCCACCTGGCCGACAGCGTCATCCAGATGAAGGAGGCATGCAGAGGTGTGGGACAGCTGGGTGCCCGCCTCCTCCCTCCTCACCAGCTCTTCCCACCCCCTTTCTTTCCTTTCTTCCTTCTATGATGTCACCTCTCGCCACTGCCCCCATACCCTCATCCCCTCGGCTTCCTGACTGCAGGGCCGCTGCTGTGAGTGGTAGGTACTGATTAAGATGGATGGATTGGTGAGAGGCATTCAATGTGACTTGAATAAAAAGCACCCCAGCCTTGCCTGGGCGCGAGAGCTACCAGCCAAAAAGTGACGTCACTCAGAAGATTACTTTACTACTGGAGCTTGTCCTTAAAATAGTAAGAGCCCTCTGTGTTCCATTCTGGTTTCTATTTATATAAATGTAGATACACACACATATACATTTTTAAAAATAATCTTGCCTCTCTTTCCCACCTCCCACTTCTCTTTCTCCGTGCTATTTGCTAGAGACCAGACACCCATTTTTAAAAGACATGTAAAGAATCCACAGTCATTGGGAAAGGTGACATTCTATGACCTTCGGAGGTGGCTTGCCACCTCAGGTTGGCATGGGGGTTGGTTAGCACCATTCGGGAACTTCGTGAGATCATGGAGACATCCATTTGGTGGTGTTGTCCCAGGGGCTGTGGACGTGCCTCAAGGACCATCCCCTCTTCCCAGCTCCTGCGTCAGTCACATCATCACGTGTCTCTTGGAGACTTCCTCTCTGGATGCAGAATTGACTTGGTGCACAGTCACTGCTTAGCTAACAGGAGGGAGGAGGTCAGGGAATTTGTTCAAGGTCAATGGTGAGAGGAGGATCTGTTCTAGGTTCTTTCTCTTGATCCAGTCTAGGTCTTCCTTCGTGATAAGAACAAGAGAGATTAGAGTTCCCTTTAACAAGCTGAATCTGTCCTCAAGGCTTGCAGGCTGCTGCTCATTCAAGGTTGAGCCCTGAATTTCTCACTATCTGAAGGAATAGAGACCTTGTTTAGAAGCAGTGCCAGTGAGCTGATGAGAGGAGCACATCTGCCCCTCCACACCGAGAGGGCATCGGGGACCAGTTAGACACAGAGCTCCAGCACAGTCAGAGGGAGGGCCTTTCAGATAGATGGAATCTTTATTCTAATAAGCAGCCATTAAAATCTGTTGGTCTGTGGGGTGTGTGTGTGTGTGTGTGTGTGAGAGAGAGAGAGGGAGAGAGAGAGAGAGAGAGAGAGAGAGAGAGAGAGAGAGAGAGAGAGAGAGAGAGAGAGAGAGAGATTGAGAGAGTTTATGGTTAATGGGGCTATAGAATTTACCACCATCTATTAATTTGTTGTAACCTCCTTTAAAAACATTTGACGGCTGAACAGCAACAGGCAGGGTGATGATGATATCATTGTGCTGCTATTTATAGATCTCCATCCCCTGAATAGTGCAGACCTTGGTATTTAGACTGTGGAGGCCTGTCGGCAGAACTCGGGCCCAGGTCTGTGTTTCCTGCTGTACCGTCACATGGCTGTCTCATGACATCTGTTGTTGGCCACCTGTTTATAGACAGGAAGCTAGAATGTGGATACAGGATCTAAGCGGGGAATAGAATGATCTGGGTTTATTTTTCTACTCTTGTTTTTTTAGTAGGCTTTACCCGTTTCTTATATTTGGGAGCAAAAACAGGAAAGAACAGTGTTTGAGCCAATTCCAAACTAGATACATGGTCAGGTGAAGAAAGAAAAATGTTCTTTTACACAGAATGGAGCAAGAAAATTGAGAGGGAATGGGAGAAAAACGCTGAAGGAAAATTACCCAAGACAGTAATTCTGCAACTTTACCTTTAAATAAATTTGGACTAGAAATCGTGATTCTGGTCTTGTTTGGGTCAAGAGGTTAATCACTGATTGACCACTGAAGTTCACAGAGAACCCTGCTTGAACAAGGGTCACACTTTGCATGGAAGATTCCCTATAGTATGCTTTTATATTGATTTGAGCTGTTGTTTTGCCTCAAACTAAGAACTATAGCAACCCTGAGGACCCAGAAAAGATAGACTCATCCTGTTTAGGTCTTAACATCGAAATTAATCTTGAAATGGAACTTATTTCTTTGGCCAGTTTCTGAATGATAACTATCCCCGGGCCAGTCAGTCAACCAAGTTAGCAAGGAAGAGCTAACTGGAATCCAAAGTGAAAGAGGTAGTTGCAGCTACAGGAAAGCTTTGAACTCTGAGAACGGGGCTGAGCCACAGTGGACTATGACCATGGACAGTTCCCCGTAGCGCCAGAGCAGACTTTTCAGCACCACGGCCAGCACTTACCCACTCCCAGCTACTGCGGATGTGAAAATAGCAGTAAGATGTTCCCAGCCTGGCGCGGTGGCTCATGCCTCTAATCCTAATCCAAGCACTTTGGAGGCCAAGGCGGGCGGATCACCTGAGGTCGGGAGTTCAAGACCAGCCTGACCAACATGGTGAAACCCCGTCTTTAATATTACAGCAGGGTTTTTATTCAAAAAAAAAAAAAAAAAAACCAGTTAAAAAAAAATATTTTGGGAGGCCAAGGTGGGCGGATTACCACCTGAGGTCGGGAGTTCGAGACCAGCCCGACCAACATGGCAAAACCCGGTCTTTACCAAAAATACAAAAATTAGCTGGGCGTGGTGCCAGGCACCTGTAATCCCAGTTACTCAGGAGGCTGAGGCAGGAGAATCGCTTGAAAAACGGGAAGTGGAGACTGCAGTGAGCCAACATCATGCAGCTGCACTCCAGCCTGGGTGACAGAGTGAGACTCTTTTTCAAAAAAAAAAACAAGACATTCCCCTTGTATTCACCATGTATTACATGGAGATACACACCTGTAATCCCACACTTTGGGAGGCTGAGGCAGGAGTATCGCTTGAGCCTAGAAGTTCGAGACCATCCTGGGAAGCATTATGAAACCTCGTCTCTACAAAACAAAACAAAACAAAAAACAGGTTTTTAAATTAGCTGAGCATGGTGGTGCATGCTTGTGGTCCCAGCTACTCTGGAGGTTGAGGTGGGAGGATTGCTTGAACCTGAGAAGTTGACTGTACAGTGACCCATGATTGCACCATTGCATTCCAGCCTGGGTGATAGAGTGAGTCCCTGTTTCAGCAACAATAATAGCAGACATTACCCAGCAGCTCCACACTCTTAGTATCTTCCAGCCACAGTAAGTTGTGTCCATGGACAGCTCCCACCAGGGGCAGAACAGGCTTTCCAGCACGATGGACAATGTTTTTTCTCCAACTACTGCCAGTCTGGAAATAACAGACATGCGGCTCCCCAGCAGTTCCACGGTCTTAAAATCTCCCAGCCACGATGGGTGTGACCATGGACAGCTCCCTACGGGGCCAGAGTAGGAATTTCAGCACCATGGCCAGCACCCTAGCCCTGAATTCCCACCTGCTGGTGTAAGAATAACAGTAAGACATCCACAGCAGCCTCCTTTTCTAAGAACCCCTGGATAGAGACATCTTTGTACTAGTTCACTTCTTTGCTGCCACTGCATGGAAAATCACATGCAAGTATAAACCTCTACTCATTCAAATGCCTGGCTGTCACAAAACTTTTTGTTTGCTTGTTTTGATATAGCGGGTCTGTCATTTCTAGAACTTCTAATATGAGGTGGGGCACTGTTGTCCCAGTCAGCATTTACAAGGTACACCACTGCTGTCTGGGAGATAATGACCGCCTATTGCGGATCACACACAGAAGCAGCGTCTATGACCTGATTCCCAGTTCGGGATCTGCTCTGCAGACCTCTGATTCCCTGGATACAGATTGAACCATGACACACTTCATCTGATCCTGCTACAGGTAGAAAACAGAGCTCAGTCAAAAGATACAAGAAGTGACAAGTTGGTTTGGCTAGATCATTTTTACATGACATCTGTGAGACTACTTCCCATTCACAAGGTGGTACTTCTTCCTAATACTCTGTGACCCAGACAGAATATTTGCCTCCTGCATCATGAAAATGTTATTAATAATACTTCTGAACAGTGCTATGTGCTGGCCACTATACTAAATGCTTTCCATGTATTATTTAACATTCATAACTTCTGTGAGATAGATACTGATATTGGTCCAATGTTATTAATATATCTGAAATTAAAAGAGGTTAAGAAACTTACAGAGTGTCACATATTCATCAGGTGAAACCCAGATTTAAACCTTTTCTTCCAATCACCCTGCTGTAGTGAGAGCCATCATTTTAACCTTTTCTCTCCCATTCTGGGACTTCTTTCAATTCCTGAAATGGATTTGCTTTTTAAAATTAAATATAATATAGGTATCAATCATCTCAGGTCTAATAGAGTTTACAATTTCAGGCTAGTTAAGTTTTAGTTAACTACAATGTCCTATTGTAAATCACCATGGAATGGCCCCTCTGGCTGTCTTGTTTCCTTACAGGCAATTCAACAAAAGGAATTATCAGAAAACTATTAGCCCATCTACAATTCTGTCACTCTTGATGGTATCTCACTACTCATTTCTGTTAATCCAAACAAATAGGTCTTTTATTCAATCACTGGGCTCTCCAGGTAACTAGACTTCTTGGGCTTCTGTCAATCCAAGCAAATAAGTCTTTTATTCAAGCCTGTTTAACCTCTGGGCTCTGCAGGTAACTAGACTTACCTGAATATTGCCCCCATGAGGCATCACCCAGCTCCCTGTATAACTTCTGCAGAGCTCATGCCCTGCCTAGGCCACAGACCTCACTCCACTGTCTCTTTCTTGGCACCTAATCTGGGTGGTCATGGTGAGTCAGCAGGAGGATGTAGCTTGCCTATGGGCATATTCAGTGATTGTTGGGTTGGAATCTATTGCTAGTATCAAGCGGGTCTTTTGTGTGTCTAGGGTACTGCTCTCTGCTTTTTGCTGCCTAAGACATTGTGACTTTGCCTAAGACATTGTGACATTCCTCTTGCCTAAGACATTGTGACTTTGGGTCATCAAGGAACATTCCACAAGCCAGCAGACAGCAAGGGGAATCTGCACCTTCACTCTGCAGCAGGCCTGTGGTAAATTCCAGATATTGACTTTGTAGAATCGGTTCACATGTTTTGAGGTTTTGTTCTGTGACAAATTGAAACTAGTAACTCTCTTTGACCTCTTTTCTTCCTTTGGTGCCCCAAGTTGGTCCCAATTTCTGTGACTGTGATACCTTCATACTCCTTGGCTCTGAGCAGCTGACATCTCCTGGAGAGGCCCAGGGCTGTCCCCTTGTCAGCAGCAGACCATAGCCTCTGCAGTCCTTGTCCTCAGTAGCTCTAGTTTCTCTGTGGACCTTGCATGAAATGGAACTAGGCTAGCATTTCTTCCGTTTCTGATCTTCCATTGCAGCTACATGACAGTGGGGGTTCTCAGCTCTCCTGCAGATGGAGGTAGTGTCTCTGTGTGGTCTATAAGGTATGCCAGGGATTTCCACAAGACAAAAAACAAAAGGTTGCAAAGAAGACCAGGATTTACCAAACAAAATGACTGAATATCTCAGAAAGAACAACTTAGTCAATTCACCTACTCATTCATTGAAGAAAGTTAATTGAGCACCTACTTTGTGCCAAATACTGTGCTAGGTACAGGGGAAATGGTAGCAAACAAAACAGACTAAGAATCAATACCCCTTTGGAGCTTACATTCTAGAAGGGAGTCAGATAATAGGTAAAATCAATAAGGAAAATGGTAGGTGGGGTTAAGGAGCATAAAACAAAACAGGAGATGGGGATATGAAGTTGGTAGGTGGTTGGAGGGGAGGGCGAAACTTTAGAAGAGACACCCAGGGAATAGCCGATTAAGTTTATTTAAATAATTTTTTTAATGGAAAACTTTGGGTATACGCCAAAGTAGAAAGGACAGCATCATTAACCCCTGGATACCCTCAAAAATGTGGTTCTTGAGTAAAAACCAGAGAGAGGTGAAGAGTGAGCTTTGCAGGTGCTGATGAGAGAGCAGCCCAGTATCCTGCTAAGAGCCCGTGGCAGGAACTTGCCTGAAAGGAGGCAAGAAGGCCATTTGGGAAAGACAAGAGATGACAGAGGAGGTGGTAGAGAGGATATCCTGGAGGAAATTGGGCCCATATTATGGAAACCTTGGGGCCATAGTAAATTCCTGGGGTCTTAATCTGAGTGAAGTGGGAGGTTGTGGTAGGGTTTTGAGCAGAGAAGAGCCAGGGTATGTTTACAGTTTAGCAGGGTCCCTCTGACTGCAGTGGAGAATATGCTGTGGGAATATGGGGAGGAATGGAGGCCAGTTAGTGTCCACTACACAGCAGTAATCCAAGTAAGAGACAGGGGTTGGGTTGTACAGTCACACAAGGGATTGTGAGAAGTGACTGGAATCCAAACGTATATTTGTGGCCAACGGCATATAATAATCCATTGGATGTGGGTGGGGTGTGAGAGAGAAAGGTCAAGGTTGACTCTGGTTTGGGGCCTGAGCATCAGAAAGAATGGCTTCCCATTTTTCTCAGCTGTAAATTGATAATGATGCTGGTCTTATCCAATGGACTATTGAGAGATTTTGAGTGAACTGATCAACTAGTAGTACCACTTGAGATTCCCAGGACTGTAAGTGCCTCTTCAGGACAAAGAATTGTGGCATCCATTTGTTCAACCTATACGTATATGCATCTGTTAACCATATCCTGTAGTTTTTTTAAGACTTGAAGCAGCTTTAACATTACTTTCTTAATCATATTTATAGATTGGGTAATATTTATAGATTACTACATATTATGTTCTTGACTAATCTGTTACATGCACTTTATTTAATCCTTAAACTTATGATTTGGGAAGCTGAGGTGCAAGAATCATGTGAGTCTAAGAGTCCAAGACCAGCCTGCACAACATAGTAAGACCCCCATTTCTAAGAGAAAACTTTTTTAAAATGTTTTTAAAAATTGGCCAGGCATGGTAGTGCACACCTGTAGTCCCAGCTACTCAGGAGGCTGAGGCAAAAGGATCACTTGAGCCCTAGAGTTCTATGCTGCAGTGAGCTATGTTTGCACTGTAGCCTGGGTTACAGTGTCAGACCCTGTGAAAAAGAAAGAAAGAAAGGTGGGGGAGAGGGAGGGAGGCAGGAACCTGTGAAAACAATCCTGATATTCTCACATCATAAATAAGGAAAATGAAGTTGAGTGAGATTAAAAGGAATATTGTCTAGATTGGTCAACTAATATATTTGATAGAACAGCAATTTAGACCCCAGGTGTGTCTAATTCTAAAGCGTGTTCCCTTAACCATGACACTCTACTGCCTCCCACACACTTTTTTCTTGCTCAAAAACTACCAAAACCTACTCTTTCTGATCACAGAATTCCACCATCTTTTGGTGAGAAAAAATTCTCATAAAACTTTTTCACAGCCTTGAGATCGTGAAGTATAAAGATGATGGGGGCCCTTTCATCTTTCATGGTTCTTACAAAATTTTCCTAGTTAGTTGTTTGTCTTGTGTAGCACTTTTTTTCCCCTCATACAGAAATTATTTTTTAAAAAACCACAGTTGTATATTTTTTTCCCCCTGGGCATCCTGTTATATTTGGAAAGGCTGTCTAAATGATGAGATTATACAAATATTCTTCTATTGATTTTTGAATTCTTTCATTTTATTTTATGTTTACATAATTAATCCATCTGAAATTTATTTAGCATACATCTATTGTGAAGTTGGTATTCATTTTTCATTTTCCCAGATGTCTAATCATCTGGGCCACCATCACTTATTGAATAATCTACTCCCCTGATTTGAAACACCACCTTTGTCATTTATCACATTCCAGTGTATTCTTCAGTCTGTTTCTGGTCTTCAGAATGTCTCCAGTAGGTCTGCCTACATCTTTTATGCCAGTATTGTATTATTTCCACTATTCTATATCTTTGTAATATGTTTATCATCCATTAGTAGTCTCTTTCTCTTCTATTTTTTTGCAGAAATTTTCTAAATATTCTTGCTTATTTTTCCATGTGAATTTGAGAATCAACTTATCTAGTTAAGAATCTGTTGTTTTTGGCCAGGCACAGTGGCTTATGCCTATAATCCCAGTACTCTGGGAGGCCAATGCAGGTATATTGCTTGAGCTCAGGAGTTCAAGACCAGCCTGAGCAACATGGCAAAACCCCGTGTATTAGTCTCTTCTCATGCTGCCAATAAGGACATACTGGGGACTGGGTAATTTATGAAGGAAAGAGGTTTAATGGTTATACTTCATGATCTCAAGGCTGTGGGAAAGTTTTATGAGAATTTTTTCTCACCAAAAGATGGTGTAATTCTGTGATCAGAAAGAGTAGGTTTTGGTAGTTTTTGAGCAAGAAAAAAGTGTGTGGGAGGTAGTAGAGTGTCATGGGTAAGGGAACGAGCTTTAGAATTTTACACCTGAGGTTTAAATTGCTGTTCTATCAAATATATCAGCTGAGTGATCTAGATATTATTTTTTTAAATCTCACAATCATGTCAGAAGAAGAGGAAGGAAGAGCAAAGGGGTGTCTTACACGGCGGCCTGCTGGCAAGAAATCATGTGCAGGGGAACTCCCCTTTATAAAACCATCAGATCTCATGATCCTTATTCACTGTCATGAGCACAGCACAGGAAAGACCCGCCCCCATGATTCAATTACCTCCCATCAGGTGCTTTTCACAATGTGTGAGAATTATGGGAGCTACATGAGATTTGGGTGGGGACACAGCCAAATCGTATCACCCTTTCTCTACAAAAAACAACAAAAAAAAGAAATTTAGCTTGGCATGATGGTGTGTGTCTGTAGTCCCAGCTACTCTGGAGGCTGAAGTGGGAGGATTGCTTCAGCCTGGAAGGTGGAGGTTGCTGTGGGCTGAGATTGCACCACTGACTCCATCCTGGGCTACAGAGCAGGACTCTGTTTAAAACAAGCAACCAAACAAAAACACCCAACAATCCATTGGTTTTTATTGGGATCATATTAAATTTATGAATTAAGGAGAGTCAACATCTTTTCAATGTTGGGACTTTCTAAGAACAACAGATGTCTTTCCATTCTTGAAGTCTGTTATTCGAATAGTAGAGTTTTAACGTCTTCTTCATACGTATTTCTTCATATATATATTGCCGTGTACTTTATCTTTGTATTACTTTTATAATGGTGTTTCTTTTTTTTAAAGAAAAAAAAAGCATGGTTTTCATTTGTAAAGCTGATGGATTTTTGTTTCTAAGTTCTGTACTCCATGATCTAATCATATTCCTTTACTTTTTAAATCATTTATCCGTTGAGCTTCTGGACTCTTTCACTTAAAAACTGATAATTTTACCTCTTCCTTCCTAATTTTTATAGTTCTTTCTTTTTTTCCCACCGCCTGCTACCTATCTATCTACCAAATCTGTATTGATAATAGACGTTCCTAGGAAACTCGCAGTATTTCCCAAATAAGCCTTTTGAGTTGAGGTGTGTGTGTGTGATTGTGTATCCATGTAAGAATTTTATTGTTGTAAAATAAAGAGTTTTATTTTGATTGAGAATGGATGTTGAATTTTAGAAAATGCCTTTTCAGTATCTATGGAGATGGTTGTGTAATTTTTCTCTTTTGATCAATTACTATGTAAAGTTATGGTAATAGGTTTTCTAACACATCCCTGTGTTTGTGCAATACGTGACTCATTTGTCTCAGGTATGTCATCCTCTTGCTGAGCTGGTAGATTTTGTTTGCTAATGTTTTATTTAAGAGTTTTGCAATAATATTCCAAGTAAACTTGACCCATAGTTTTATTTATGTTTTATTTTTGGGGGGATTCATATCAATGTGATGCTAGTTTCATAAAAAGAATGTGTAAGGTGTTCTTTTTCTATACTCTTGAACGGTTTAAGTAGTGTTGTTGCTGTTGTCTGTTCTTAAGGATTAGATCGAAGTTTTCTGTAAAACCTGCTGGGCCCAGTTCTTTCAGTGTGTTCTCTCTGTGATGACTTTCTCCCCCCATGATCATTGTTTTCCTTGCATGATTCCTTTAAGGTCGTCTGGGTTTGTGGCTGTTTCCCTGTCGCGTTTCTTATTTTGT